AAGCTGCACGCCTCCAGATGAGCCAAAATATTTCAAGAAAATAAGTATTGAGAAAATGTACTACAATTTTAAGAAAGATGAAAAAGTCAAGATCCAAGTACTATTTTACATGTTATGTATGGTTTAAAACTGATTTTACAAAAAGGAGGCATATAGATTGTAACTAAAACGATAATTGCATTTTATTTAATCACGTGGTATACAGTAGTCTATTTCAGTATACATCCTGGCAGAATGCACATCAATACACAGTAAACACGTAAAGCAGATTAAATAAAGTCAAATGGTCAATATAGGAGACTTAATAAATTATATGTCATAACGGTACAGCGTATTTTTGTATTGGCAACACGAAAATATCTACAAAATGAATCATGAATACTAACAAACTAAAACATATCTTCCAAATATTATAATATTATCAGTAAGTGAATACTAAAGACGGATAATATCCTATCAATAAGGGTATACTTACCCGACACAATAACAAAAATGCCGGTATATGAATATAATATACACATCTTACAGCGTTTGGGGTTAATGATAAAATGAAGTGTTCGGACATTGAATGCTTTGACAAATACTTTGATAAGTTTGTACTTTCTATATCATTTTCTGAATTCATATCTTTTCCAAAATAACGTTATCCTAAACTTGCAGTTTATTTATTTGTGTAACTTTAGATTTTCTTACATCCATTCAGATACAAACACTAGCAAATCAAATCTAACATACATGTATGTTGGTGTATTATATTGTATATTATGTGTTTTACAAAGCGTAATTTTAATCATTTTGTCAATCTTATACGAGTAGTATATGACTTCCGGTTTTTAATCTTAGGAAGCAATAACATCGGAGTGCAAGTTAAATATTTCTTAATAAGAGAAATAAAATTTTCCTTCTTTTTCTATGTATAAACATACATGAACATTTTTCGGCCAAAGTCCGTCTAAGAACGGTTTGAATTTTGTAGATGTTGTTCTTTGCTGTATAATTTACTTGTGTCATTAACCCTAGATTTATTCTATTTCAAAGTGTTTAACAAAAAGAACAAAGAAGGACTGATAAACAGTAAACACTCTTCTATGGCTTTGTAAGACAACAGTTCTTCAGAAACAGGAACGCCTTTTAAATCACTTTAAAAGATGCCGGGTCACCGCGTGAAACGTTAACTTGCTAAACCAATACATACAAGTTCTCATGCTAGCAAAGCCCGGTATTATCAAAAATAAATTGTGACAGGGAAAGGTTCGGTGGAAGGAACTCCATCATCTTACTCAGTTCAGACTGACCAAAGGGAATAGCTTGAAGCAAGTATTGAATATGACAGAGACACAAATGTCTGTTTGGCAGAAATATGATAAACAAGATCAACAAGATAAACCGGCGTTCAATGAACGCTCATGATGGTTCAATGAAGACGAATCTTCACAGCAACAAACAGACAATACAGCTGAGGAGCTTTGTTAGTTTTAATTGAACTTTAAAAGCAGTGCTTGGTTTTTAACTCCATTTATGAATGTTTAGCTGAAAAGTACCTGACGATCCAAACTAAGAAAAAACTGATTATTTTCATCTTCTTTATGGCATTTTTATTAATTTGTAATTAATAAATTTCAAAATAAAACTAAGAAACAACACATGATAAACGTGTCATTATACAAAAAGATTTTCCTAGAAAACATCCTGGAACAAGCTTATGACAATAATGGCCATTTTAGGCTTATGAAATGTTTTAGAACTACATGTATTAAAAATATTTTTGGCCTTACATTTATTAAGAAATTCAGACTATATAAGATCATGTGAAAAATATCAGAGAGTACATAGAGACTCAAACGCTTCTTTTATCCCGTTCAATCGTTGTAGGTTTTTTTTGAAAGATTCCAATTAATAAATACGTCTGAAGGTAATTAACACATTATTGTTTGTGTTTTATAGTTTTACTTTTATTTAGTTCCGCCCATGGTAAGGGCACACGCATTTTTTACTTGGGGACCATATGCCGCTTTTTATGGAATGTCACTAACGTGTCACATTGAAGGTTTCATGATAACCGCCATGTGAACAGATCTGCGGATGAGACGAAATTTCCAAATTTTACCTGTTAATGTCAAATATTGAATGCTCCTTAAGCCCATGCTAGGGGCGTGGACGGTATCTTGGACATTCCATTAAAAGGCTCAATCAAACCGAGAATGTAACATTTTCAATTTTGTCGTTTTGTACCTTCTTTAGGGATTCTTTATTTTTCTATATTATACTAGATGGAATCCGCTTCGTATGTTGCACAAATTTTCATGATGAAATTGTTTGTAGATACGGAGCTAATAATACAATAGTTACAGAGAAAATCCCGACCTTTTCCCGATTATTAATCCATTTCCGCGTAGCAGGAAGGGAATTATAGGAATTGCCTCTGTCTGTCAGTCCGTCCGTCTGTCCGCTCTCACGGGACAGTAATAATGTGGCTTGAGGGATAATAGGTAACTGTTCTTTCTCTTTCTCTTTGATTTCATTCATTTCGTAATGCTTTTGTTTGTTTGTTTGATTGGGTTTTACGTCACATCGACACTGTATAGGTCATATCGCGACGTTCCAGCTTTACTTGTGGAGGAAGACCTCAGGTGCCCTTCCGTGCATTGTTTCAGGTACGAAAGGGCACCTGAGTAAAACCATCGTTCCGTAAGCTAGCTGGATAGCTACCTCACATGAAAGAATCCAAAGTCCCTGTCGGGATTCGAACCCACAGCGGTGAGGGGCAAGTGGTTTAAAGTCAACGACCTTAACCACTCGGCCACGGACGCTGCCCCGTAATGCTTTTATGTGGCTTTTTTCTTTTGTGTGGCTAAAAAACCAATAGAAAGAACAATATAGTAGCCACATAATTAATGTCCCGTTAGAACATCCGCCCGTAACACTGTCTTGTTCGCTCCATAGGTTTTAAACCGCTGATTTGTTTTTAGATAAATTGGCAAAAATGATCACCATTACGAGACATGTGCAGAGCGCAAATATTGTCTTACTTCTATCAAGGTCACGGTCACATTTAAAGGTCATGTGTTAGAAAGTCTACATTTCGTGTCTGTGCTCAATCACTTTTAAACCGATGAATATCTTTTGAAATTCTATGGCACAAGTAATTGCCATTAGAAGACAACGTGCAGAGTCCAATAATAGGGTTGCCGACCCCAAGGTCAAGGTCAAGGTCACACTTAAAGGTCAATTGTTAAAAAGTTTACATTTTATCGGGAAGGGGATTAAAGGAATGGTCTTCGTTTGTCAGTCCGTCCGTCTGTCCGTCTGTAACGCTTTCGTATTCATAACTTTAAAACCGCTGAAAATTTTCAAATGATCACCATGATTATAAAACGATGTGCAGAGCGCAATCGTTAGGGTTGCTACCTCAAAGGTCAAGGTCACACTTGAATTTTTACGCACCTGAATTTTTTTGAGATAATTTGATTAAAATGATAACCATGATGAGGCGATGTGAACAACACAATTATTGGGTTGCTACCCCAAAGTCAAAATCACACTTATAGGTCAAGTGTTAAAAAGTCTATATTTCATCGGGAAGGGAATAAAAAGAATGGCCTCCGTCTGTCAGTCTGTCCGCTTCTGTACCCGCTCCATAACTTCAAAACCGCTAAAAAGTTTTGAAACAACTTGGAACAAATGATCAACATTTTGGGACGATGTGCGCAGTTGCTACCCCAAATGTCAAGGTCAAACTTAAAGACAAGTGTTAAAAGTGTACATTTAATAACCGCTCCATAAAATTCAAACCGTTGAAATGTTTTGAAATAACACAATAATTGGGTTGCTACCCCCAAGGTCAAAATCAAACTTAAAGGTCAATTGTAAAAAGTCTGCATTACATGTCCGCTCCATTACTTTAAAACTGCTGCATAACTTCGCACAAGTGATCACCATTATGAGACGATGTGCAGAGCGCAATAATAGGGTTGCTATCCCAAGGTCAAGATCGCACTTAAAATGCTGAAAAATTGAAGAAAATCACACAAGTAATGGCCATTTTTTAGACGATGTGGGAAACCTAATAATTAGGTTGCTGCCTCCAACGTCAATGTCAAACTCAAAGTCAAGTGTTATAAAGTACATTTCGTGTCCGCTCGATAAAATTTAAAAAGTTGCAATGTTTTTAAGATGACATGGCTGAATATCATCATTATGACACGATGTGCGACACCAAACTTTCAGGTTGTTATCCCAAGGGTCAATGTTAAATATTCTTCAGAACCTTTTGACTATGGAAGATTTTAATAACTTGGCACAAATAATTACTATCAAGGCCATGGTTTGTTAAAGGTCAAGAAGTACATTGCGGAAGGGGTTTTAAAACTGTTCTTCAGGTAGTGTTGATATTGAATGATTATTATTTGTGTTCTATTTATATAAATGTCAAATTTTTCTGATATTGTACATTTTAAGAATACTAAGGTTCACTTACCGAAACACGATAGTTTAATCTAGAAACATTTATTGCAGTGTTTCCTTCATCTAAACATTAAATTCTTTGCAAATATTCTGAAATAGCATTTGCAAGTAAAAGTAGTCCGAGTATCTTTAAAAAAAAGCTTTTTGTTTCTGTTTCGTCTAAGAGTAATCGTTGTAAAGTCATTCTTGCAATTTGAGCACAATTGTCAACTGTTATGTTTGTCGAAATATTTCCGAAGATTCACACACCTCAAATTTATACTTTTATACATAGTCTAAGATCAAGTTTGTATTTTTTTTATACAAAACAGTTTGTAAAGAAAAAAATCAACATAACATATCTATTTGACTTGTATCCATCTACTTTTTTTTGGTATTGCTGCCACTGGCTAGAATCTGTGCAAACATCAAACAATTTACTTTTGACACATAACTTCGAAATTCTGAACACGCACTCTATCAGCGATACTAAACAGTTGTACAAAACAAGTCCAAAAGCTTTGCAAAATACTTGCTTAAATAGTTTAAAGCAGTCAGGGTAATAAGATGTAATAAAATGTGTTTCTTCACTGCAAATTACGCTAGTGTATTTGTATATCTGCTAATGTCACGTTTTGATTCTTGAATAATCGGTTTTGAAATATTCGTATTTGACCCTCGGAATGATTTATTCAAACTATGTAAGGTTGAACATCAAATACTGCTTAATACTGCCAGTGTTGATACACTTATTCCAATCATCTGCAATATATTTAGTTCTTCACTACTTCTCTCCCTAGAATTTATTTTAAATTGATTGAAACAATCTTGATATTTGCACTAATCATTACATTATATAAAGTAATTTGGCAGTCGTAGATGTCATTAGAGTGAGGATAATACATTTTAACTTAAAGTATATTTTGCATCGGAATTTGAATGGTCTCTATCCAATCCGATTCAAAGTATAAGTTTGTATAGCTTATAGTATTAAGATGATCATCAATAAAATTGTTATATGATATATTGCTTCTCTCCGTAAAAGAAACAGTTTGCTATATCAAAACGCCATTTGCATGCAAAATTATTTTATGATTTATCTTCATAGTAACCTAATTATTTTAGAAATAAGCGTATTACCTTTTCCCTATACTTTTGCACTCTTCTGATCTAGTTTTTGTATACAAATGCTGTTTCTTATTATGCGGCGACACATTCATGTCGTCAGTTAGAATGTTTTAATCATAATTTCATAGGAAGTATGAATATTATTATCATTTTATATGCGATTTTTATTAATTCCTCATGTGACAGTAAATATTGAAATGAGAGAACTGTGTTTTCAAAGCAATGTAGACATATAGATGCGCACATGCACAAAGGACATATTACAAACGTTTTTCTACAGCCACATGGTCAAAGACAGATTTTGCAAAATCTTCACTGTTGCTATTGATAAAATTATACCCATAGATTAGTTCATTTTCTTGCTGAAGCCATTCTATTAGATCATTCAATGTTCCTCTTCCGTTGTCCTTCTTTATGAGAGTACGTCCATACCTGGGTCCGCGTCTATATGTATTATAAACAACCCATTGATGTTCACTTCGTTGAATGGTGATGCCTTCGGAATTCTTTTCAATCGACCACCACCAATGTTCCGTTTCAAATACTATAGAAACGTGGTATAATGTGAACTTTGTTAATTGCCATGAATACAGCTTGTACTTATATGCCATTATATTAATTATATGTTCGTCGCCATCGACCAGGTTTGGCAGTCTGTCAACCAACTCAGAAGCTGATAATTTATAAATTGGTTCAGTGCCTTTGTCAGCTACGGGATAAAAGTATATTCTACGTTTCCATTCTTCTCCATTTTTAGATGAAGTGCTTATAAAATTGCCCATATTCTATGAGACAAAAAACAACAACAAAAAATAAATAAATAGAAAAATGAAAAAATATATACAACAGCAAGAAAACAAATTAAGATATTGTAAGCAATAAGTAAATATTTTCAAACGTCGTCCAGTATATATTTCTTTTATTCATATTGTAAATGATTTCATCTTTTGTCTTTAGAAACTATCTTTTTGAAATCTTACCAAAATATAAGCTACTAATGATTACGTTTGTCTTTGAAGAAAAGTTTTATCAGTGACATTGTACAAGAAATATTAATGGAACGTAACGTTTAGATTTATGTTAGTAGGTTAAGAGCCAAAATTTATGTTTCATAAAGACAAAATTTGTTACTTTCTATGTGTTTGTACTACTCTTAAAGGAAACAGTAAACCTTACCGTTTCGATGTTTTATAAATTTTTATCGCAATATCAGCTGAAGATGTATGTCCTGGTTTGTTCGAGGAGCTCTACAATTACAGGAAAAGTAAACGTAAACGATTCTACAAGTCTTATACCAAGAAATTATAAGTATTAACTAGAACTCCGCGAGTCGGATGTGTCGCCTTGTGCCGATGTAGTTTAGGAGAAATGGCCAGGACAAAAATGAAATAGGAAAAATAACAATGAGCAATAACTAAAAAAATAATAAGTGCAGAGCAGCAGTTTCTGTGCACTGCACTTCTTATCAATAAGATCTATCATTCTATGATGTTTCAAGTCCATAGCTTTCATACTTGAGGATAAACCACCAGGACAAAAATAAAGTAAGAAAATCAACAAAGGGCAATAACTCAAAAAATAAGAAATGCAGAATATCAGTTCTTATGCACTGCACTTTTTCTTAATGAGATCTATAATACTATGAAGTTTCAAGTCCATAACTTTTATACTATCGGAGAAATGGCCTGGACAAAAATTAAGTATGAAAATAAACAAAGGGCCATAACTCAGAAATTAAGAAATGCAGAGTACCGATTCGTGTGCATTGCACTTCTTCTTAATGAGATCTATCATCATATGAAGTTTCAAGTCCATAGCTTTTATACTTAAAGAGAAATGGCCCGGACAAAATTAAAGTATGAAAATAAACAAAGGGCAATAACTCAAAAATTAAGAAATGCAGAGTATCTGTTCTTGTGCACTGCACTTTTTTCTAAATGAGACCTATCACCCTATGAAGTTTCAAGTCCATGGCTTTTATACATTAGGAGAAATGGCCCGGACAAAAATAAAGTATGAAAATTAACAAAGGGCAATAACTCAAAAATTAAGAAGTGCAGAGTACCGGTTCTTGTGCACTGCACTTCTTCTTAATGAGATCTATCATCCTATGAAGTTTCAAGTCCATAGCTTTTATACATTAGGAGAAATGGCCCGGACAAAAATAAAGTATGAAAATTAACAAAGGGCAATAACTCAAAAATTAAGAAGTGCAGAGTACCGGTTCTTGTGCACTGCACTTCTTCTTAATGAGATCTTTCATCCCATAAAGTTTCAAATCCATAGCTTTTTTAGTTGAAGAGAAATGGCCCGGACAAAATTAAAGTATGAAAATTAACAAAGGGCAATAACTCAAAAAATAAGAAATGCAGAGTACCGGTCCTTGTGCACTGCACTTCGGGTTATTGAAAGAAGCATGCATACCAAGTTTGAAGTCAATCAGACTTATAGTGACTGAGTTATGCTCCGGACAAGCTTTAGGGGACGCCGACGCCGACAACGACACCGACACCGACGCCGACACAGACGCCGCCGACGCCGCCGACGCCGCCGACAAAAGTAACCACTATATGTCACCTTTTCACGGCGACACAAAAAACGTAAAGAAAATCCTTAGATGTCGAAATTGTTATTTCATATCCAGTACAAAATTTTATTATATTCATAAAAAAGATGAAAGAGAAACTAAAAACAATTTAACATAGCTGCTACGACATTTTCTCGAGTTTTAGCATGGGCTTCATGAACTACAATTGATCGATTTTCAATTTTCATTTATAAAGATTATACCAAAAATGTCTTATCTCCTTTTTCGTATTGTTTAGGGCTGTCCCCGTAACTTATGGACAACAGTGTTCAAACACAAACTACTTAATGAACTCATAATTATTTTTCTGGTATTGAATACACCATAGCTGAGCAAACATGATAAAAAACAGCCTGATATCATGTAATTTGATTATACAGAACAACTTATAAGACTACTTGGTAACGCAATGCGGCCTATTGTTATTATGTTAATAGGCCGATCAAGCTACGGAAGAACTCTATTAAGGGTTAAACTATCAGCAACAAAAACAAAACATAGGTAACAAGCATCTATATCATTTGAACGATGATTAAAACACGTACCATTTAAAAAAATGACATTGATTTTACGTCCAAAATCCCGATTTTCATGAGAAATGGTAATGTACAAAAAGCCTTGTACAACACCTATATGTCCTAGTATTACTGTTAAAGGCTTTCATTTGCCCTCGCCAATATAATGGGTGTTTGCCCTTCTGAGGGTTTTCTTCATGCTCTTTAACCATTTGTTTATTTTTGACGGGGAAAATAATGTACCCCACCCACTCTTCCTTACATATGTTTATACAGGAACTTTACGGAAAATATATTTGCATTCATTGTAATGAAATCAACAACAAAAATATCATCATCGTTATCAATGTTATAATTTATTTTTACAATCCTATATCGTAACAATGTTAACATGTACATATATTTATATGTGAATGTTGACTAGTTCAAATTGCAATACTAATTGGCATATATGATATTACTGTCATGAATGTGACATGACAAAAATATTGGAAACATATAATAATATTCATATACCAAACTTTTCATATATACACACATCTTCGTTATTAAAATGAGAATAAAATTAACCATTTTAATCTATTTAAATGTAATACAGATCCAATAACAAACAATCTACAGTATACAAAGCATATAAAACACTAGAGCATACAACACTTTGACACATTTTTCAATTAATAAATCTTTCTGGTTAATAATACAATAATTGTGTTCAAGAACAAAGCCTGAATCATATATGAATAATACTATTATGATAAACGTGACAAAAACCATTACAGAAGAGTAAAAACTGTTGCCAACTATTAGAATATAATGGAGAAATGAAAACTATATAGTCAAACACTTAACCGTAAAGTCAGTCAATATCAGAAGGATGTTTACAAAAAACTTAAAGGTTTGCGATCAACCGATTCCAAGTCCTATTGGAGTCTTCTTAACACATTTTCTGGTACCAAAAAGGACATAGTTTCAAATATATCAAATCAAGTATTTATTAACATTTTGAAAAACTTAACAAGCCAACTCTTACTAATGTCATGTTGATGACATTGATTTGAGCAATATTTCTTTCAACAATTAATTGTTAAATTCAGAAATAAGTATCATAGAAGTATAGAAGATTGTTAAAAACTTGATTCATCGGCTTTGATAATTTTTGAATGAATTTTTTAAATATGCTGACAATGACGAATTTTTATAACTCATTTGTCATTTTTTAACATTGTTTTGGATTCTGGTATATTCCTGAAATATGGAACCGGGGAATCATATTACCATTATACAAAAATTAGGGAAATGAGGCAGATCCAAATAATTATAGAGGAATCACTATTTTGAGTTGTTTTGGCAAACCTTTTTACAAATCTTTTGAATACTAGATTAAATTCCTATTCAGAATGTCACAATTTCTTAAATGAAGAATAAGCTGGCTTTCGTAAATCTTATGGAACTTTTGATCATATCTTCACATTAAAATTGCTTACAGACTTCTATTTAGGTTCAAAGAAGAAATTATATTGTGCATTTGTTGATTATAGGAAATTTTTTGACTCAGTAAATCGAATCTATCTTTGGCAAAAGTTACTGGCACTAAGTATTGACGTTAAATTTTTAAAATTATATATATGTATCAAAAAGCTAAATCCCGAGTCCGGTAATAGTTTGTCAAGCTTTTTCACCAGTGATTCAGGCGTAAGGACCTGAGCTACAGATCAATCCTGTAAAGTTTCATTGAAATTGCATTAGTGGTATAAGAGAAGTAGTCCGGACAAACTTTGAAAATAAAAATTATTAAAGGGCCATAACTCTGACAAAAATCATTGAACCGGAAAATGCTGACAACATGCACAACTAGACTTGGTACTGATCATTCCTGTAATGTTTGGATGAAATTGCACCAGTAGTTAATGAGGAGTAGTCCGGCCAAGCTTTTGTGTATCTGGCAACACACAGAAAAAAACATATTTTTATCAAAGGGCCATAACTCGGCCAAAAATCATTCAACTGGAAAACCCGTGCAATATATGCAAGGACTTGAGCTACAGATTAATCCTGTAAAGTTTCATTGAAATTGCATGTGTGGTACAAGAGAAGTAGTCCGGACAAACTTTAAATTAAAAATTATTAAAGGGCCATAACTCTGACAAAAATCATTGAACCAGAAAATGCTGACAATATGCACAACTACACTTGGTACTGATCATTCCTGTAAAGTTTGGATGAAATTGCACCAGAAGTTTATGAGGAGTAGTCCGGAGAAGTTTTGTGACGGACGGACGGACAGACAGACAGACGGACAGACAGACGACGGATAAGTGATCCCTATATGTCGCCACTAGTCCGTAGAGGCGACACAAAAAACAACAAAGAGAAAAAGACAGGGGTCTAATGTTGAGTTTGATACGTACAAAGGAATGGGCACAGATGATAAACTGAATGTTCTTTTTGAAAAAGTTTGAAAGTTTTGATAGTGTGCAACACAGGTAAACGTTCTTCAGACTCAGATGAATAAGTTTATTAATGATGTCTCAGATGTGAATAAACAAATTAAAACACTGATTTATATAAAATGCTTAATCTAGAAACTAGAAATAAAAACAGGAATTTACTTATACATGGATATGAAAAACACAGGATGTTTGTGTGTTTGTGTTGGGTTTTACGTCACATCGACACAGTATAGGTCATATCGCGACGTTCCAGCTTTACTGGTGGAGGAAGACCTCAGGTGCCCTTCCGTGTATTATTTCAGGCACGAACGGGCACCTGAGTAGAACCACCGACGTTCCGTAAGCTAGCTGGATAGCTTCCTCACATGAAAGAATCCAAAGTCCCTGTTGGGATTCGAACCCACAGCGGTGAGGGGCAAGTGGTTTGAAGTCAACGACCTTAACCACTCGGCCACGGACGCCCCTAACACAGGATGTATATTAATGGCAGTGTCAACGATTTTATTTACAATCAATTTAATCTTAATCCGAGCGATTATTATATCGACAATGCAGAACATTTAGGTCAAGTGAAAAACAATCGCCGGGGGCAGGAGTCATCTAAGGGGACAATATTGGTAACTTTTTGTTACTCTCTTGAAGTAAATTCAAAAATGGCAAATGCACGAAATCTTGCTGGAACTAGGTATGGCATT